ACTTAAGAGAACAAAACCAATAGTGTTGTGTGTGTGTGTGTGTGTGTGTCTGGAGAGAGAGAGAGACAGATATTGATTATAAGGAATTGTCTCACATGATTATGGAGGCTGGTAAGTCCCAAAATCTATAGTTGGCAAGCTGGAGTCCCAGGAGAGCCAGTGTGGTGTAGTTCTAGTACTAAGGCTTATTGGCTTAAGACCCGGGAGGAGCCAATATTGTAGTCTGAGTCCAAAGGCAAGAAAATACTGACATCGCAGCTCAAATGCAATCAGTCAGAAAGATTCTCCTCTACTCAGTCTTTTGTTCTAGTCAGGCTTTTAACAGACGGATGACCATTTGCTTTACTCAGTCTGCCATTTCAAAAGTGAATTTCACCCAGAAGCACTCTCATAGACACATCCATAGTAATGTTTGACCAAATATCTAGGCACTCTGTGTCATCAGGTTGACACATAAAACCAACCATCACAGAGGCTGAGTGGGAAATCATATTTACAAATGAGGTGGGTGGACAAAAATAATAGACACAGTAACGTGAAGGCTGATGGGGAAGGGATGCTTCTGAATTGAAGTAAGTGCAGTCGGAATTCCTTATGCTCAGAATTACAAAGGAGGTGTGATTAGATTAGGTATTGCTCAGTGTGATAGCACATTTGAGAGCACTACTGAAGAAGTAGATATAAACCGTATTATTTCCAGATAAATAAAAAGAGTAAGGGGAAATAAAGAAAACTTGATCAACTGGAAGGTAGTAAAGGGGAAAGGGAAGAAGAAAGAGAATGGTTAACAGAACATGGAAAATATGAAGGTAGAAATAAGCCCAAATGTGTCAGTTAAAAATGGATTAAAGTCATTTTTATTTTATTTTATTTTTTAAATTTATTCATTAAGTTATCATTGATATACACTCTTGTGAAGGTTTCACATGAAAAACATTGTGGTTACTACATTTACCCATATTATCAAGTCCCCCCCCATGCCCCACTGAAGTCACTGTCCCTTAGTGTAGTAAGATGCCATAGAGTCATTATAAAGTCACTTTTTAAACAGAAATTTTAAAATTTGATTTTTTGAAAACCTATCTAAATGCTATTTATGAGACTCACACCAAGACTTAGTGACACCAGCTATATCAGGCAGATACTATCCAAAAGCATTATTACCACTAGGCAACACTAAGACAAAAAAGAGATAGAGAAGGTTGTGACTTGATACCAAAAACATAATATCTAAGAACTATATGTTAACAAGTGCATGCATCCAACAATAATGCCTCTAAATTTATAAAGCAAATATTGGCAGAATTAAAAGGAGAAACTGACAAATTCACAGTAGTAGATGATTATTTCATACCTAGTTTGGAAAAAACTAATAAGAATATAAATTTGAATAATACAATTAAAATTTCAGCCTAGTAGACATGCCTGAACCTTGTACCTCAAAAATAGGAATTTAGTATTTTTAAAGACATAAAACATTTATAAAACTTGATCACATAAACATACAGGGGAAATCAAATACCCCAAATTAATATAAGCATGACATACTTTGACCACAACTTAATCAACTTAGAAATTTGAAATTGATTAATTCATAATGGAAACTAAAAAATATATATAAATAAATGACAGCAAAACTTGTGACATATAGATAAAACAGAATTTAGAGGAAAAATCATTGCCTTACAAGTATGTTTTCAAATTAAAAATTGAAAGTTTATTTAATAAAAATAGTAAGTTAGTAAAAGAATACTATGTAGCAAACTCAAATTAGAAAGCAGGGAATAATAATGATAAGAGGATAAATTAAATGAAATTGGAAGAAATGGATCAGTAGAAAGACTCAACAAAATCAAAATTTGGTTTCTTAAAAATACTAATAAACCAATATCTAGTGAGACTGATAAAGGAAAATGTTTACACAAATTAATATCAGACTACTAGACTAAAGTAAATTTAATTGCAGATTCAGAAGGTAAGGCAGAGTGTTTGATGCATGGATGTTTATTATTTTAGGCTCCTTACTTCTTTGTGCTTGAAATAATTTACTGTGAAAAAGATTATAATCTTTACTTAGGCATCACGCCTTAGCCCAGGCATTGCCTCTTGCCCGCCTTCTGTGACATGCTTTAACAGGAGGACCTGCTCTTCCCTGTCCAGTTCTTGTGCATCTAGCTCCAGGTGACTCACGCATTCCTGCTTTATGCATGCTTGGTAGAAAGTTTAAATATCAGCAGATGAAGTCATGGCAGGGGTAAACTGTTTTCAACAGAATGAATGCTCCTAGCGAAAGTTAGTGAGAATAAGACTCTTGTCCACTTACGGTCCAAAAAGATGGGTGCAAATTGAAAGAGAGAGAGAGTAGGCCAAGGTACAACTTGCATGAAAGGCACAGGCTTCCTTGAGGTCTCCTATTCCCAGCCATCACTAGGTAGGCCCAACTGCCTCTCTTTATCTGGTTGATACTGTACATACTTTTGACAGTTCCTAAACTTCAGAGTACATGTGTAGAAGTCAGTTTGCACTCTGGCTTAATCTGAGACAGGCAATACTTTTGTGAAGCCCGAGTCTCAAGATATGCAAATGGAGGGCAGATACACCCTGGGTTTGCAGCTTAGGCCTTAACTTCCTATTTGTTAGCACTTCCTCTCCTGTTCTAAAAAATGGCAGGTTGCAAGAAAAGACATTTTGTTGAGTTTAATGCAAATTTGGACTCAATATATAGTTTTTACCATTCAATTTAAAATGACTGACTTCCTCTCACAAGCTTCCTTTGATTTGAATGGTGCTCTATTCAATACATTCAAACTTTTAAAAAAAAGTTTACTGGCTATGATTCTTAATTCTGATAAGCACACTATTCTAAAATTTAAATTGTGAGGAAAATTATGTCATTAGTTTCTTTTTTCTTTAATATTTCCCTTCTCTCATAAAATAAATGACCTAATTTTCTTATGTCCTATTGTATTGTCCCTCTTCTTTTCTAAAAAGATCCTTTGTTTTATGATCTTAGCAATGAGAGTTTGCATATAGGTTGTTATAAGGTCAGTGATTTTCCTCAGCGATAACACTTTGGTCACATTGGCCATTTGGAGATTTCCTTGCATCGGTATGAGAATTAGCAGTGTAACATCTTAGTAGTCCAAGTGCATGTGGAGAAGAAGGTGCTGTTCTTTCCTTGAGGCACTGATCATGGGTACCCCAAAAAATGTATCTGCTATTCTTGTCTGGTGACTGAGTCACAGACCCACAAGAGTACCCTCAGAGGAGGTTACCAAGTGCAAGAGCAACTGCTTTGGGCCCCTACAACTGGGCAGATCTCAGAATTAAGTGGGAAAACTGGTGAGTTTATCAGGTGCATCACTATCTCTCTAATAACATATTTAAAATAATCTGTTGTTTTACTCGGTGTTTCAGATTCCCCATGTGTGTACTTCTCATCCACTGTAATTCCTTTGAGAAATAATTGAGTCCAGTTTAAGCTTGTATGAGGCAAATGTCAAAGTCTAATTTGGTTCTTACTATTACTTACACTTTAACAAAATAAATAACAAAATAGCTGTGGTAGCTATTTTCTCTAAAGGCTTACACAAAACACTTTAAGGCTGTCAGCTCAGATAATATTATCCCTTTCTACAGACTAAGACAATGAATTTGAGAGGCTCCATAACTTCCTGGGTCGCAGAGCTAGTTGTAGAGATAAGGCTAGGTGGGATTCCTGAGGTGATGATGCTCTTTTGGGGATTCCAAATATGGCCTGTCCATTTGTGGTGCAGACACCTCTGTACCAGTGGCTAAGTACGTAAATGTTGCTATAAGTATGCAGTTACACAGAATTGGAAACAATTAAAATAATGGTACATCATTTATTTCTTTGTGGACTCACTACTATGCTTAAGTGAAAAGGATGTAATTTCCTTATTTCTTTCCTCAGTATTTACTAATATTTATCATATCTGTCGGTATTCTTATGGTACTGAACTTGATAAAGAACCTAATAATCTAAAGAACGGGCCAAAAATCATCACAGAACATGAATGATGTAGGTCTGTGGTCTGTGTTCATTCTGTTAACTAGATGATCATCCAATGTGCATTTTAGTTTGTGTGGACAGACCCTAAGCCATTTTGCAGAATATTTGAGAATAATTCCAATGGAGACTTGAAAGAATCGACACCTGACTTAGCTGCATCTAGAGGCTTGCTTCCTCCCATGCAGAGGAAGAGGAATTCTAGCCACTGTGACTTCCAAGTGCCCACTGGAAACAGCAAAACCAGGATCTCCTGCCTCGATCTCCTATGAGGGTGACCTGATCTGATACTGTAACCTTCATCAGATGTCTCCCCTAGACTCTTCTATAGCAACTCCCTGGGGGGAGGTCAGTTTAATTTACTGTTGGATGTGATGAGATATATTTTGGGATAAAAATTATATATAAATAACGGGTATATATATATTTTTTTCTTACTTAAGATTCCCTCAAGTGTCAGTCGGTTTTTACCTAATGTTCTTCACCTGTGAAATGGACATAACATTTTATGGCAGTTGATGAGAATTCTTTTAGAAAGGTTTAGAATTCAGAGATACTTTCTTGGCTGATAGTTACTTTTATTGACATCCTTGAAATCTTTGAATCTCATCTGCCTTCACTAAGCTCTCCATGTACATATACTGGTTATAAAATACTTACCTGCAAAAAGTAAGAAAGTATTTTCTGATTGTTTCTGTGTGTTTGTTTTATCCTCACGTGGGCCTTCCCATAGCTAACTGTTAAAGGTCTGTACTTGTTAATTTACCTTGGAAAACTAGGTCATCTGTAGATCTGGCTCTGTGACTTATAAACTTGGCAAAGTGGTTTAAATAAAAGCTTTCCAAGGAAAAAATTATTAGAATGTGTAATGTTTTCATTGTCATGGTTTGTGTATATATAGGTATATGACACCCTCATGTTACACTACAAGTATGATTATTGTTAACAGTTCATCTCTTTTCTTCGGCAGCCTCCAAGTCTGTTATAAATAGTATGCTACGGGACCCTTCTCAGATTCCAGATGGAGTTCTAGCAAATCAGGTCTATCAGGTATTAATCACAGCTGTCTATTTTCAGTGGCAATGCTGTTATCTGCCTAGCAGAGTAAAGGATTTTAAACCTCATTTAATTACTGTCATCATAAACTATCACTGAGGTCAGGGTGCACCGTAAATGGCAATGCAATATTTGCGAGAAGAGCATTTCCCTTTTTAATAGCTTGCTTTTATAGTGAATAAAAAGCATGCAATTTTTGTTTTCTGTGATTAAATCTGAACAGTCTTTGATAATTTTAAAAAATTTGTTTAGAAAAGTAATTACACCTATTAGGATACTGTTAACTGTTAGTTTTTGTAGTTGCCCACCCCAGACCTCTTCTCTTGTTTGTCTGCAGTGCATTGTGAACGACTGCTGTTATGGACCACTGGTGGACTGCATCAAACAGTATCCTTTCCCATAAAATTTTAGGTGCACAATTGACGAGCTTAGACTCAGTGGAGGAGATGTGTCTAGCTTTAATCTGACATAAAGTTCTGCTTCACAGAACACATTTCATACTCTTCTGTTTTGCATTCAGTCACCTGGAGGGTCACTGCAGACCATCCTTTTCTATAGCTTAAGAAAAATCCGATAGGCTGTGGGAAGATATCAGTTCAGCAGTTGCATGTTCACATGCTTATTTCAAATTGCTTGGTTTCCAATGAGGTTAAAGGTACAGAGTCGTTAGGCAGGTGACATGCTGTCTTGGAAAGTATCTAAGCATCCCAATGAACATTTTAAGAAGTGTAACAAATTTCTGTTTAGAATGAGCCAAATTTAGTTGAGTTTACTAGAATAAATTTCGAGCCTGGAGTTAAAGGATGATGTGATTAAAATACTGCCAGAGACCATCACATTTTAAAGGGCAGTAGATTCTTATTGCTTAAATGCTGATTACAATCTGAGCTGCCATTTGGATCCCTCATAAACATTTTTAGAGAAGTCAAGCTAAGTTTTCCCTCTGGGCTGAATTTAAGGCTATGAAAACAGATGCCCAGTCATTCTTCATTAAAGACATTGAGATTGCTTAAGATTTAATGTTTACTTTTTAAAGCAGGATTTGAGTGGATAGTAGGAAGTAGGACATTATTAAGCAATATGTTTAGTAGTAGCTTGGCAACACTAAGAATTTTGACAATGCTTGGCTAAAAATGTTATTTAAAGAGTAAATACTATTTTTTAATGAAAATTATATCCATCTGCATCCATGAGTCTCACATTTCTTAATAATATTAGTATTACTACATGCCCTTCCTCGTATTGGTTTTGTTAGTGTTGGTGGCACTGTAACCACTTGTGACTAGGTGATTACTAGTCAGGAGACTTTTTTAAAAATTCCTTGCTAGTCAGGTGTGTGTGTTTGTATGAGTATGTCTGCGTGTGCACATGTATTTATCTATATCTCACTTTGTTTCATAAAGGCTTAGGGTCAGTAAAGTTTTTGTGAAGAAATTCACTCATTTTCTTTTTGATAAAGTTAACCTTTTAAAAATAATTTTTTATCAGAGCTCTCTTATAAGAATATTCAGTATCTAAGTTACAGCCTTCATATATTTATTCCTCAAGTCTGTTTCCCCATATCTGGTTTAAAAATAAAAATCACTTAATTGTCATAAGCTTGTCTTTTTATTAGACCAAAGTGAAACATACTTCTATGTTCAGTATAAAATTAATGATAGCGTTAGAAATTGTAGAAGTGCCAGCCTCATATTGCTACATTGATAAAGTTTAGCACATTTATATAACAACTAACACCATCTCAGAGTATCTGGGGTGGAATTGCATGTTAATTTTAAGGCACATAAAATAGTTAAAAATCAATTTAAAGTTAAGGTTTTAAAAGCATAATGTCTTTTGAAGGATTGCATATTGATTTTAAATATAACTATCTAATTATATATGCATGGACTAAAGTATGAAGTCAACTGCTTTGTAAATGCCAGGAGGCTATTTTTCAGTAATAGTTGAGATGCTTACGGGAAACTAGATTGCTGTATTGCTGGCGAAGAAAATGGCTTGTAAGGTTATTTACAAGTTTTGCCCTATGGTCACTGCTATACATCAATAATAGGTATTATTATAGACAAAGTCTAAGTGTTTTCTGCTTATGGAGCATTATAAATTCTGTTTGGAATATTTTCCTTACATTTTTGCCATCATTCACTTTGCTGTTTTGGCTGTGTTATTGCCAGTAGAATTTAATGTAGTACATGATTTCAATTGATAAAAATAATGATGTATATCTATAGATTGCATTCACCAACTAGATTATCATTTTGTAGTTCCATTATGCCTATTGCCAGTAAAATTACTGTTTTTTATAAGCTTTATTTTCTAGACCTTGTATTTTATATATGTTTATATCAAGCAAAGCATGATCAAGAAGTATATCTTTCCAAAATTTCAAATTAGTGATTGCTTTTACCACGCAGAATAACACAGGCTGGGAAGTCTACAGAGAACTGATTTTATCTTTGCATTGAAGTAGTAACAATTTCATATAATGTAAACACACTTGCATAGATTTTCCTAAACTGATGAATGAGAATTATTTTATTTCACACTGAATAAAAATTATTGGTTTTCCGTGTGAGTGAAAATGCTATTTGTAATTTGTTCTGATAATTTGGTAATGTTTACATTGCATACTCTTGGTAAATTACATCACTTTATAAGAGAGAAAGCACACATTTAGTAAATAGAATAGGTGTAAAACCTTTTTACTCCGTTATGAATATTGTACATGTAGACATTTGTATAAGTAGAACAAAGTAAATTGGTCATTTACTAAAGGACACCACAAAAAGCATTATAGCAAAAAGTACGTAAATTGCCATTGTGCTTTCTTTTCCTCTTGGTCTCTACTGTATTTTTTTCCTATGTAGCCATGCCCATCCACACCTTTCCTGCCTCAGCTCACATTCACTGACACAAAAGGTGTGAGAAACCAGCCACCTCAACTTTTCGACGTGTGACTTCAGAACACGGCTATTAGACAAAGACCTAAACAGACAAGCAAGGAAGGATAATGAGGCAGGAAGCTTAAAATGCTGTGGGTTTCATTTCTGTACCATCAGTAACCTCAGTTTCATGATTCAACATTTTAGATGTAAATAATTTACAACAATAAAAATGAGAGCACATTTATGTGGAAAAGAAGTAAATAATTTAGTTCTAAGTTGTGGGATGTCCCTGGTAATGAGAGGCCATTGTGAGTTATTCACCAGATGTCTTCAATGGACTCTGCAAATGTGCAGAATTCTGTGATTTAAAATTTTTTTTCGTTTTGTTTCCAATTAGAAATTAAATAAGCGCAGCACAGGGAAGGGAGAACAACAGAAGGAAACCAGCAGTGATGATGACTTAGGGCTCATTTTAACAGTGGGTTTGAGTGGCTGCATCTCTTGAATCTAAGATTTAAATGATATTCATCTATTTCTGTTGATAAAGGGAAAGATAATTCTCTAATATTTTTTTAAACAAATAATACATAAGCTTTAATGGATTTAAATTGGACTTTCGCAATGCATGATCAGAATTAAAGGGTCTCTGGTAAGCCAAGGAGTAATATGACCAGATTGACATTATCAGTGAAATGGAGAATTAGGTAATTATTACCAAATGCTTTTGACAGAGTCAAAGTATCAGAGAGAATAGGATAAGACTCCTTTTCACACTTTGTACCATCTCATCCTTTTGGAAAATAGACCAGAATTCCAAATACCATTGCTGATTTCATTATTTATCAGCCATAGAACCATCAGCAAATTCTTCACCCTTCCTGAACCTTGCTTTCCATAACTGTACCCATTCATGTACTTGTTGTGAAGATTAAATAAGGTGATACCCTAAAGTGTTCAGCACAAAGGCTTAGTGTGTGGTAATAAGAAATACTAGGCACTATCAGTTATTTTTACATAATTCATTTTAATACTTTTTTAAGAAGCTCTATGGAGGTCATAAACATAGGCTTTTCAGAGATCTTACTCTGATTCTCTGCTTTGCCACCCATTAATCATGAGCTTTTGTAGATTCCTTTCTAAGCCTTGGTTTCCTCTTCTATAAAATAGGAATGATAATAATTGTGAGGATGAAATAATATACATACAGCACTTAACACAGTGCCTAATTCATACTGAGTACTCAGAATTGATATATGCCTGTGTGTATGTATTTATAAGCATTTTATGTGTATACCTGCACTTGGTGCTTTACTAAAATGTCTTTCCTCCAGTAAATATACTTCCCAACAGTCAGTTTGGCTTCTCAAGATGCAGAGGATCATCACCAGTAGAGTGGAAGTGAAGCAGGAGCTGTAAATGCTGGCTCTGGGAGCAGTGTGAACCCACAGAGGATGTGTGGGCCTCTGCAAGACTTGAAACTTAGGGAAAAGGCTGGTTGGTTTTTTGTGGTTTTTTTTGCTACACTTAGTAAATGCTTAATAAATGTGTGCTGAATTGAGTTGAGGGATTTTTAACATAGGGGAAAGCATTTTTTAAGTGACTCACCCTCTTCAAAAAAAGATAAAATACACATCCTTTTGCAAAAATTTTATTTGCCAAAATACCTATAAACATTTACAGAAAAATTCCATTAAGTCATTTAAATGAAGGGTTGTGTATAGACATTTCATTCCTCAGAGATGTGGACTGAAGGTGGAAATAGTTTATGTAATTACCTCTATTTTCTATTTCATCTCAAATATAAATAGACCTGGTATTTATAAATACCATGTTTTCTGATGGAATAGTTTTACATGTGTTACCCTCCTTAACTAAAACTTCCCAGTGCTATTGGTCATGAGCATGAAGTCCTGCTGAGAGACTTGCTTCTAGAGAAAAACCTGTCCTTCCTAGGTAAGTATTGCTTACATCCCTTCTAGCTTGTAATATCCCCGTGAGTGCTTAAATATGTATTTTTAAAAATCTTCCCCTTGCAGTTATTATGTACTAAAGGAAGAGTGAAGAGTGAATGGTGACCAGAGCTGCATGTTATCTTTTATTTAGAACTGAGCAGGGACTCAGTTACCTAATCTCCAATACATACAGCACATGCACAGGCTTGCAATTAATATTTTATAGAATAAGTCGCTGAAAAAATGCTTTAATATCTGTGGCACTATTACTTCTGGTGTTGTGAGATCTGTAGGCCTTATGAGAGAAAGAAACAAAAGTAATATTGTCTATAAAATGCTTTGTATGTTAAAAAGAATGTTTAGAAAAACTTTTGTGAGATATACTTGTCTCGTGTGGAACTGGATGGTACTTCAACGCCAAATATAAAGCTTTTATTATTTTTATGCCAAATATTGATTGTCATAGTAGATTTAGTATGATTTTTAAAAATCTCACATGTACCTGTGTTTGTGTGCCAGTGTGGAGTCTTGATACAGATTGTTAATTTCTTCCAACATCTCTTAAGTGTTAGTAATTAATCCTCAAACAGCACACATGTGATAACTGATCATGGAAGCCCCACAAGGCACTCTTCAGTGAATTAATTCTTCCTCTCCATTTTAAATGTGGCAGTATGTAAAGGCTCTCTCTACACAAGTTGTGGTTTGTACACATCTGTTTTATGTGCATGTCTGAGAGTCTGCATAGTGTGTTTTATTAGGTCAAAAAATCAAAGAATATTGGATTATATAACTTTTGTTCCAAAGTGAAAAAAGAATTGGCCAAGGGAAGTCAAGTGTATGGTCTTATGTCAAGTTGGAGAGGCATGTTGAATACAGTCCTGCAAGAAATATTTTTTGATAATGAACTGGAGAATGAAGTTGAATGTGTTATAAGATTGTTGATAATTTAAAGATGAGAGATATCATAAATATTCTGTAGCCTAGGGTTAAAGTTGTTAAGTTACAAAAATGGCCTCAAATTATGGAATTAAATTCCAATATGGAAAAAGGAGCAAGCCTCCTCATGTAAAAAGAACAGTTGAAGTGTTAAGGCTATAGAAAGAGGGTAAATTAAATAGAAATTGCCTTTAGAAGTCTAATCAAAATAAAATGTATAATGGCTCAGAATCAGTTGGAATAGATGACCCACACTACACCATGAGATGTGTTTTCGAACTACGGAGTTCTGAATAATATTGTGATGTATCTGATGACATTGATCATTCAGCTAGTGGCATAGCCAAATATGTTTTATTGTTTTAAGTTACTGAGTAAGTAATCATATTTTCAGGACTGCTTGATGTTACTTTCTTGGCACCATCTGTTTATGGGTAGTCAGGCCCTCAGTGCCATTTCTTTACAGCCTCTCTTTTCTCTGCTTCCCTCCAGAGAGCTGGAAGACTCAGCAGGGAAAAGGAGATGAGGGCTTATTGGTGGTGTAACCTTAGTCCCAGGTTCTTGACTCTTGCTTCCCAGAACTGAGTTTGAATTGCCCACAGCCAACAAAGGCAATGCAGAAACGTAGCTAGGGAGTCATTACCACCTTCATATAAGTTCTGAAAATTGATGGGTCCCACCTATTCCTCTGTGCTATAGGGTCAAGAAGTAATTATTTTATTGAAGTATACCCAAAGATGATACTTAACTGATCTTTAAAACTGAATGAGTTACAGGAAAGTTAGCTGACTCCGTATAACTTCAGTCCTGTTTTGAAGCATTTCCTCATCAGTGTGCAAAGAAGTTAACTTATTCTACACATTGTGTTTCAATGTAGTACTAAATTAATACATGTTTCTTTACAGCTAACACATGAAAATTCAAAGTCTAGTATGAAGTATTGTTATGGGATTGTTCTTTTACATTGTAAATATCCCTTCATGGGGGTTAATTAGATCTAAAGTTCTGTGCCAGGTAAATTTAGATAGATCATCATTTTAAAGCCAACTATGGAAATACATTGGTATATAAATAGACCATTCATTCAATCCTGTGCTTTCTTGTTTATGTGTGTACACCTTGAATTTTGTTATAGAGACATTGCAAACGTTTTTTTTACTTTGATTCTTTTATAAGCAAAAGTAAAATCAACCTCTCTGTCTCCATCTGTCTCTCTGTTGGTTTCTAATCTGGACTGCTTTCAAAAGACAAGAATTCTTATTTACCTATTAACCCTTTTTAAGAAGCATGACTTCCCTGAATTTTTTATCTGGTTCTAAATTTTTCACCCATTGCGCTCTGTATGTCATTTTATAAAATCATATTTTATCTGACCTCTTTTACCAGTATAAGAGAAAAATAAAAATAAATCACCTTTATCTTGACCCTAATAATTTCTTCAGCTTCCTTGATTCATAACCATATACTGAGCAGCTGCTATAGCACATTAACCAGGCACATCTGAAAGAGGAAGAATCCTTATCATTGAAAACGCAGGTGTATTCATAAGGAGATTTATCTTATCTTGTAAATTTATCCATTTTGTACTTCTACAAATAGTTATATTGTATTCAGAGAAGTCCAAGTTGAATAAATGACTTTGGTCTCTCCAACTGAAAATATCTATTATTCATATACTTATTCACTTATTCCAAAAATAAGTTACTGAGTCAGATACTATTTTAGTCACTAGTCATAAGCCAGATGAAGTCCCTGCTTTAGTGGAGTTATGGTCTAGTAGGGAGACAAGCTATAAACAAATGAATACAGATAATTTCTAGGAGTTTTTCGGACTTCTTGTTATTCTTTTATTCATTATTCATTTTTCTCACCTAACTTTGGTTGAGTGTGTTCTCTACATGCCAGGAAACTGTACTAGTTTTAGTATGAAGATGATGATACACGCCCCATTACCTCCGGGTGCTCCCAGCCATGCACACTATCACCATGTCTGCCCCGATAAGCATGCAGTTCTGTCTCTAGAGCAGCTCAGTAGGTATTTATTTACCTAATCATCTTTATAATGAAAAAATACACTCAAGGCTGTTGTCATGTTACTTTCATTAAACTTTTGAAAGAAAGGGTCCGATTACACTAAAAATCAATAGCTACCCTTTAATAGGAAGAAAATTCTACTATCTCATGATCCGCTTCCTGAAGTGGTGATAGAATTTTGCTTATTCATCTGTGCTCCCTGACACCTTCATGCCACCCTGTGCTTCAGGATGGCTGGTTGAGCTCATTAGGCTTTTTTACCTTGAAGCTAACCACTTTTCTGTTGGCTCAGCAGACAGCTATCTTTTAAGTTCTTGCTATGGGCAGGCACCATTAAGGATATAAAAATATTAAGTTGAATCAAACATGGAGCCTTCCTGGAAAGTTTCAGATAAGCTTAAGTACAAGTCAGTTCTTTCCAAGGAGAGTTAATTTAGAATTAACATTTATTGATCATCATTTAAAGTCTCAGGAGGTGTGGAGAACCTGCTGCCTTTTCCTGGGCTTGAGTGCACATAGAACACCTCTTAAACTTTAAAATGACAGGAAGCATTGTGACCATCCTCATCCCTTCTCTGAAGGGTTTCTTCTCTTTCTAATATCAACCAAATAGAAAATTTATTTTATCTACTGATGGAGATGTTTTAATTTGTGTATCTCAAGTGATTAAAGAGACTATGTTTTGTTATATTCTCTCTGTCTTTTTTGGGAGGTGAGGGATAGGGAAGAGCTTTGGATAAAAGGCACAAGAGGAAAGGAATATAGTGACAGTGAGGAGGTGACAAGACTGTTTGCCCTGTTAGGGAAAACTTGAAAGAGCTTATACCAAAGACTGAAGATAAACCATTCATCCTTCATGGGTTGGCGTATCTCCAGGTCTGAGGGACTTTCATTAGTGGCTTCCACAGCCACTGTTTGCTGCAAATTCTTGTTAAGTTTGGCTTAATAAGGGTGGCTCTAGAGATATTTTATTCTTGCCAGTGAATGTTGCCCTGTTAGAAGAAACACAATTATTTTGAGTGACACCTGAGAACCATTTGCTTGATTCCCACCTCACCCCCCATGTTTGGTCTTGCCTTATGACAGACCAGCATATTTTACATGCTGCCTTTCTAGCATTTATGTACCCTGTGGGGCTCTAGAAGGGGGTAATGTGTAAAGCCAAATAGGCTTAGTGAAGGATGTCCATTGCTGGAAGAAATTAGGATCTTTGTTTCTAAGAGTTTATCTACTCCTGCTGCTTTATTCCCCACCTGGAGCAACAGTGCTGTGCTGGGGAAGTGATTATAATGTGACAAACAGGGAATTATGACTTCAGGTGAAGAATAGGCAGCGGGAACAGAAGAGATACAGAATACTAAGATTGTGTTTACATGCAGACGTGAGCAGTAGAGAATAAGATACTAGAAATAAAACATATGATTATAGACTAAAGGGAACTGAGATGGTTGGGCATTTCATAAGGTGTCAACTATTTAAATTCCTGTTTGTCTGAAGGTTAAAAATAAGATTCAGCTTTTAGAATAACAGGAACATGATATGTAGGATAGGATATAGGAAAATAGGAAGGAATTCCCTTCCTGAGGAAATTGTTATTGTGCAGGCGTGTACTTACTCCCTTTATTAGATATGCTTAGACTTGCTTCTCTGTGGGACCAAGAGAAAAAAACCACAGACACATGTGTGCTGCTGGGTGACATGCTCTCAGGAACACTGAGGACAGGTTACTCTGTCCACTTATGGTGGTAGTCTTTCTGCTCCAGGCCCACGGCTCTTCCCTCACCATTGCTCCAGTTAGATAACTCATGTCTGCTGATCATCTGCTTTCCTGGCCGCTGATGACATATTGCAACTGTTTTGGTTTAAGTGATAGAAGTCTAATCAAACTAGATTGCACACACACAAAAGGAGAACTTAACTGGTGCAGGGAGATGTCTGGGAAATCCAAAGGAGAAGCATTTGCTAATGACCTGTCTAAAATCCCACAGACAAAACAATTGTCATCAATATCTCCTCTTTTCTTCCTCT